ATGAACTTATTACTTATGCATCACACCAAATGAATCAAGTACAGCCACTAAACTAACGTTCGGCGTTAATTTTAGATTTACACATGATCATTATTGATTATAATATTGCAGTAATAAAATATTTTATTACAGCACAAATATAGATAAAAAAAAAATAAATTCTAATATATAATTAATAACTAAAATTGATGAGTGAGTTATCAATCTTTATTTTTGTCGATTTTTACTACTTGGACCGAAACTTGGATATACTAATAATAAAATTTATTCATAGAGTTTACTTTTTATATTTACAATATTTAAGAATCACCTTACCAAAATTTGTGTGCGGACTCTTTATGTCAGAGCTGTAGTACTGAATACTTAAAAAAATTACTTATCACTCCAGATATTTTTATGAAATTTTGTACACACCTTTTAATCATTAAGGAGCATTTTTTGAAATTTTGGTTTTGAACTGAATATTTTTAAATTAAAAAATGTTACACCACTGCTTTTTCTAAAAATCAAAATAATTTTTGAAATCCTCATTTATTTTGGAGCAAATTTGGTTCCTAGACTTACTTTCTTACAACACACCGTTTTTGCGTAAAAAATAATTTTCGTTGAAACTGTTTTTGATATTTTGTTGAAATTTGGTAGGCATCCACCACTTTTTTTGGGACAAAAATTAATTTTTTATTTCCACCAGTGAAGTCCACGTAGGTATGATACTGAATTTTTGTATAGAAAAGAACGATATCTAAAGTGATAAGAAAATTATGATTAAAACTGTATCACCCTGTAGTTCAGAAATTAAAAAGTTTCCGACATATGTTGATAATAACTTTTTTTCTTAAAATCATCCAAGAATTCACACCCTAAGTATCGACACTTAATTAATAAAAACTCTATATATTATATTGAGAAACTAACCTTTTAAATACAAGACAAAAAAAATGGTAAAAATCAATCAAAACTTTTGTAGTTATACTTCTAAAGATAAATGTTTTTCTATTAATAACAAAAAGTTTTATCTTTTATGATTACACATTACTGGAACTAATTTTTAAAAACTAGTTATTACTGGGTAACGTTTGAATTCTATGTATAATTCTAATGGTCTGAGTAACATTTTAAACATGCTTTAGGTAAATAACACATGCAATAATTATTGATACGATTGGGAATTTTCTAACGATTCTTATCTTATCAAGCATGTCGTATCGCTTACTATTTTAGACGTGTTGAGGCAAACAGTAAATTCCATGTCTTGAAAAGGTTAGAAATTATTCAGAACCTTTTCGTTGAATAATAAATGAACAAAGGTAAGTAACTAGAATTTGGAAGGTGTTAAAAATCGAGAAACTTTCAAAATTATATAAATATTTTATTCCATAAAGTACCTGTTACTGTACATATACAAAATTAGATTAAAATAAAATAAATACGAATTAAAAAATGTAAAATTCAACAAAATCCTCCTCAAATACCACTAGAATGACGTCTCGTGAATACAAATTTCCAAAGAAACAATAAAATGTTCACAAAAATTATCATCCCTTGTGGTATTACCCTTAAAAATACAGTCAAAGTCATACGCAAATGAATTAAATTGTTAAAAATATTACGATTTAACACGTTAACTGCCATGTGTACCATTTCTAGACACAGCTCATTTTGTACCATATGTACCTTACGAGAACACATGCATTATAAGTTTCTGGCGTGGCGTATGTAACAGCTTACAGTTGTTATTTTTCAAAATATTATTTAAGTACTACATATATTCAAAGGGCGCCAAAATATTTCCGGCACGCGAGCGGCGATAATCCTTGCGGGAGCCCTGGAAAGAGGAGTTATATATTGTGAACATAATAGACTCTTTTATGTTATAATTAGATTATCTTTGTTTAATAATTATTTTTAGTTTATAAATAATAGTAAAACCTTAGTTCAGAGTTGTCTTGAATATCCATTCAAGTGTATTTTTACTCAATACATTTTTTAAAAATAAAAGTTCCGTTTTGGAATTTATAAGTGGAGCCAGTAATTATTTATCACTGATTTACCAATACCTACCGGCAGTGGAGGCACAGCTTATACAATACAGCTCCACAACTCCGTGTCGGCGTCTTTGATCTGGCGGTCGAGAACCAAGCAAGACGGAATGGTGCTATCTCTGTTAGATTCAAGGGAAAAGTCGGGCCCGGATTAAACAATTTTTTTATTATTGAAAAAATTGAAAACCTTGGCGTAATAAGGTTGGTCACATGCCATATTAAGTAAGTTTTGGGAAATTACATTTTTAATTTGTTTTAAATCTTTCAAATATAATTAAAAAAATTATTTAAATATAAATATTACGAAAAATAGCACATCTTTCGGATTAGAGGTAAAATAATTTATATATGGCTAGTAAAATCCTCGTTAACAAATGTTTTGAGCTAAAACAGTCACTTCACGACAAATTGTGGCTTGGATCCATTTTACACCAAGGGCTTCAATTGTTAAAGAATTGTGTCACGCTCGTGGATGCAAATCAAGTGGTACCCCCGTGTCTCTGGCAAGTGTTACTCTTCGCGCAAAGGGTTTATACCTAGATAAACGAATGCTTCGACTGAGGTCTGGGAACTCTATGGTATTTTGGAATTATAAAGAATGTGTGCTTTTGTTTTAACAATATTGGTTATATTTAGATGCATTCTTATTAATTGAAATACAGATTTGTAGAAGTAATACTTTGACAGTTTTTATTAATATAATATATTCAATTTTTATCTGACCATACCGAAGTAGGGAATTTTGAACCTTTATAGTAATGTGAAATTTGAATTACAATATTACACGAAATTACATAATTATTACTTATTTTAGGTAGGTACTAAATTTGTACTTGGAGAAAGTAATATCGATTTTTACAAGAAAACTTGAAAAGTAAATTAATTTAGTTCCTATTTCTGATGTAAAACTTAAACCAAGAAAACAAATAAATAGTAGTTTGTTCAACAAGGGTGGATATGATTGCCATATCACACAAAGACGAAGTTTGAGCACGACGTCGTAGGCGGAGTACTCAATCGTCTGATTGTGATATGAACAATATACTCGATATGGTCAGTATATTTTTTCTACGACCCACTAACGAAAATCTACAAATTTAAAAAATGATTTTAGGTTATTTAGACAAAATAACTAATTTTAAAATAATTTACGAAGTTGGCTAATTTATAAAATAAAATAAACATGAAAAAATAATTAGTCCTCGGCCTAGATTCGATCCCGGGCTTTTAGCGTGGAAGGCAGATGCTCTATCCTCATCTTCACCGAAACTTTCAGGACTTTAGTTTTAATACTCGTAATTAAATTAGTATCATGTAGTTTGATTAAAAATTTTTTTTTAAATGTGGACACAATAAAAACAAAAATGCTATTATTCATCGAGTCTACACAAAAATTTTAATGTACTTTTTCGTTTTGTAGTATGTGCGTAGATTGGCTAATATCCATGCACAGATTACAAAACGAAAAAGTATGCTATTGCCTTCAATTGAACGAATATATTTCATATTCATTCTAGGTAGTAAGAACACTGCAAAAAAAATAAATTCGTCAATCACCGTTCCTATTTTGATCAACCGACTGCTATTATTTTTAAAATTTTAAATAAATGGCAATTCTGTCAAACTAATTGTCAGTATATTTTTTAGTTATTGAAATTAAACATACATTAAAATAGGTTATTATTTTGAAAAACGTTAGCATGGATGACTGAAGGGTATTGGGTTAATTAATTCTAAAAGTGTGGTACAAATGTTATTTTTTATAGTCAATTCTTCAAAATTATTTTGAAATATCTTTTCAATATTGAATATTAGTTCTACAAATTCATCATTTGACAGTTGCAGATTTCCAAATGTATCTCTGAATTCGCGTTATCATATGCCTTTAAAAATCAATAAAAAGAAAAATCATCTAATTCAACGTGTTCTTTGTTATATATAAGATAGATATCACAGGAGTGGATCCTCAAGGCTTTTATTAAAAGGTAACCACACACATACCTGATAAAAATTTTCTGTAGCAACTCGTCTTTACAATAATTTATTTAATTTCATCATAAAATAAAATACAATGTGTTCCATTTAAAAAACATACATTTTAATTTGCCAGACAAAAACGTGACACCCTGTATATCCAAAGAACTTTTTAAAATATGTAGGTATTTTTCAAATCCATATAACTTTTATTTAAAACTTTTTGCGTGTCTATAACAAAATAATGAACAATAACGCACTAATGGGACACCCTGTATAAATTATATTTTTAACAATGAAAATTTCTTATAATGTTGTACTTATTGGTTTGGGTCCTTGGGAAAACTAAAGAATGTTTTCTTGCAGGTATAAACCTTATTAAAACAGCTTTTGACTGCACAAACAGAATGATTTCTTTTTTTTTTCACTCATTCTACTCACAGCTAAAGAGTCATCAAAATAATAACAGTACCTTTAACTCAAACAAAATCAACGAAATTATAGGCTCCACGAAATTATACAATCAACGAAATTATACGCACGACTCAACACCTTACCTAAGTACGCTTCTGAACGTCAAAACCGTCTTTTCCCTCCGAAGGCGGAGCTTAAGCGATACGCGACGAAATCGACGCAAACCGTTGCCGCCAAGAGAGTGTTTTAGCTGTATTGTATAAGCTGTGGTGGAGGTTTTGGGACCTACAACCCCTCCCCCCCCCCATGGAGAGTCCTCGCATCACCATTTCCGCTGATCCCTATTGACTGTTTGTTTTTATTCACTTTCTTGATGGAACCCCCCATAGTTCTCACAAACCCCTCCTATGAAAAATATCTTGCTACGCCACTGCATACCGGCATATTTTTATCTAATGATTTGAATTTAAGAAAGTTTCATTAGATGTTGCGACATTCAACTAGTTACGGCAACATTGTTGTTACCGGCAACGAAGACCCCACCATATAGTTCATTATTTCCATTCCTAAAGCAAACACACACGGAATGCGGATTGATGTATGGGTATAGGATCGGAGGGTGACGATATTAAGAGTGTCGTTCCATCGTATCTGTGTTAAAAGTGAATTTTCATGCTGTTCGTAGCGCATACAATATCGAACACCTAAACATCGATTATTTAGTTAATAAAGACGAAACTATTTTGTTTAACCGTTCGTGAATATCTAATTAAATTCCTTATACCGGAAGTATTCGACAAGTTTCCGAGGTGTTTTGTGTGTATCAGTGAATTCCGTGTTATATCAGTGGGTAAAGTGTAAAGTGTTCGTTGATTAACATATTAGTGTGCGTTAAGTTGCCGGGCATTGATTATTTTGTGAAAAGTTGGGCTGGGCTATGCGATTATAATTCTCAGCTCCATAGGTACATATTTTTACTAGAAATTGATGTTATTTTAATAAATTATTAATATCCCAAATCGCATTGGTTTTGTATAAATACTAGTTACATTAATAGCGAAATTTCAGGGGTAACGCCCACTGTAATAATGTTCCGCTACCACCGCACTGTTCGTAGTAGTGACGAATAAAAATTATTGAGAATATAACTCGTTGCCAAATATTTAATATTAAATGTATTTCTCTTATTAACGAATATTTAGACAAAATACACAGTCTGTGATTGTTTCAATACTAGATAGGTCAAGATCGGTCGTTTAAAGATTTGTATTTTAACTTATAACTATTATTTAATCTGTTAATCAGTTGATATGCGATTTATTTCATAAAGAAATATTTGTATACAGGATGTTTCATTAACAATCTGAAATCTGTGAACACGAAATAATACCACACGGCAGATAATGTCAGTTGTTTCGAACGTTGAGCCGTTGGGCAGAAATAGGCATATTTTTGAAAAATATAAAAATTAAATTGCCTATCAAAACTTGCGTTTTTTTTAAATTTTTAAATGCACATTTTCAGCCCTCTACTGCCTCTTTTAGGGGTGAAAAGTTTGATGTATAATATCTACTAAAAGTTACATTTTAGTGTTAACCCTTTAACTTTAAAATAAATAATATTTGAATGAAGACGATCAGATCCCAAATTAATTGTGCATTTATTAAACACAAATACACTTTTAGTGTTTGTATTCACACTCATTATTTTTAATATCTTTAAATAACATCTTTATCCCGTTACTACCCCTTTTAAACAATGTTAAATCCTTTTGTCTTTAAAAGATAAGGTAAAATTATTTGAACAACAAATATTACACAACATATTTATTTAAAAAATGGTAAAAACTACCTAAAGAAATCAAACATAAAAAGCTAACAAATCATACATAAATTAACTCAAAGTAGTCTGTAGCACAAAGTGTCCGACTTCAACGGTATATCGACTGGTTACTCCAGCTTTTAAGATTCTTCGTAAAGGGAGTTCCCGAACCCATTCACGAGTGTCTGTTAACGTACACAAAAGAATGTTTCCGGGGTGTATAAAATACGCGTTTCTTTGGATTACCGCGAGGCTCGAATCACTCTCGCAATACATGTACAAAATGTCCTAAATCCCATTGAAAATCGCTGCAGCAATCCCATCAAAATCAGCGGCAATCTCTAAGAAATTGTCGCAGTCGTTCAGAATTCCCTCGCAGTCGCTGAGCAATGGCTAGCAATCATTAAAAATCGCGCGCAGTCAGTTGACATTTTACCTATTCACCATTGTCGAAGTAAGTTCTTTGACTAGGCTATCTAAGCCATCTTGTGTAAAATTAAACAAATTGCAATTTACGTTTATCGACAGTGTCGTTCCGTCAATTATTATTAATTTTAAAATGCCATTTTTGGCAAAGTTCATCAAATTTCTGATCTGATCTGATAGAAGATATTTCCAAGGTGGTCCATAATTGTCTTCATTTTACCTGATTTACGTTTTGGGGTTCCCTAAATCTATTTTGACTATTTTCACGATTTTGATTAATTCTCTAATTCCATTTTAGGCATAATCGGAACATCTGGGGGGGCTTTATAGTGAGTCGTTTTTCTATTTCATGGAATATATGTTATTAATGCTTGGAAAAGAGGAAAAGTGCAAATTTCCAATATGGTAAAAAGTCAAAAATGGATAAAGAGAAAAACATAACATTTTAAACTTAAGCTTTCATCCATTCTCTAATGAGTTGATTAAATTTTGGGCATAGTCAGAGCACTTTATAAAGGGTAATTTTTCTACTTTATGGAATTATTTAGTACAGATCCAAGTAGCATATCTCTTTTTAATAAGATGATGGCTGTTACCAAACAGATATATTTAATGTTGTTACTTAACTCTACATCACTATTCATTTTTTATAGGATTTGAAAATTATCCAACACTTGAAAAATAAAATTCTTCAATTAAAGATTGTTGGGATGTCATTCTTTATAATTTTTGTTCCATACATGATTTTCCTAAAATGGATCGTATTCGAGATATTTGAGGAAAATTGCAAATTTTGAATTTGGAAATCACTCAAAAACAGATAAATAGAAGAACAAAATTTTAAACTTAGGCCTTAATAAATCATGCAGTGAGCTGATTACATTTTGGGCATAGTCGAAGCTCTGGGGGAAGCGGGAGTATTTCATACGAGGGGTAAATCAATCTTTGTAAAAATGTACATGTATTGCCGAATTCATATGATTTCCGCATTCATATGGCGATTTTTGGATGACTGCGGCGATTTCTGGTTGACTGCGGCGATTTCTGGATGACTGCGGTGATTTCCACATGACTTCCGACAGATTTCCCGTGACTGCGGTGAGTTATGTATTGACTGCAACGATTTCCCTATTGATTGCGGCAATTTCCCTATTGATTGCGGCGATTAACGTATGGATTGCCAGTATTATTGCAAATTGCACGCATGTAATTTACTCATAATCAATGCGTTTTTGGGATATTCAGAGAGTACCAACAACAATTAAGTAGTTTTAATTCGTTTACAGAAATAGGTAGTTCCTATCAATCTAGGTTTCGAAAACCTAGTTGTTTTTGTAGCCGAGTGTTCGATAAAAGGCCTCAAGACGTCGTGGATCGAGGATTGTACCATGGGGTGCACCGTTTCGGCAGAGGAAAGAGCGGCTATAGCCAGAACGAAAAAAATCGATGAGAGTCTTAAAGAAGAAAAACAAAGATCCCGCAGAGACGTTAAACTTCTCTTACTAGGTAGGATTCTTGATTTGTTTTAATATTAATATTTTTTATGTTCACTTTTTCGTAAATTTAACACTAACCGATTCAATCTATCCAGTGAAACATTTAATAAGAACTATGAGCGGATAATAATAAATATTATTTTCTACAAATTTTGGTTACAATCAGTTCGCCACACACTATTGGGACACCCAGTATATGCCGTTTTCCTTCTAGAACCTGTTCTGAAGATATCAAAGAATTACATTGTATTTAAATTTTATAGCAATCGTTAAATTTATGGGCTACAACATTAAGGAAGTATACACTAATCATTTTTTTTTGTGGGAATTTACTTTCTGCAATTAACATGAAAATAAAATAATTAACATATGTAACAGAACGCTATAGATCACTTTATTTGATGAGTGAGGAAGTTTTTATAATAGCATAACATATTTACTTGAATAATAATAATAATAATAATAATAATAATACAATGATGATCTTACCTTGTCCTACTGAGGAATAACCGCAAACCTACAAAAAAAGTCTAGAATTAGTCACTTATTTTAAATAAACCCGAAGCAGTATCTATGTAAAGGGTGTTCCGGATGTTTTTATTAAATAAAACGAATACCAAATAAAAAATTTAAGACTTTATAGCCCTAGGTAAAATAATCGTTTAGGCGAAACACAATATGGAGCAACTGTCTACCGCGACTTCTCTGGTAGGGTATAACCACAAAGCACATATCCTCTAGAGCAGTGGTCGCCAACCTCTCAATGTGTTGAGCTACTTTGTTAATTTTGGAATAAACAGCGAGCTACCCACACGGAAGCCACGTAACGCAACGTAAATGAAATAATCCATAGTTAATTTATCATTATATGTATTTATTTTACTATTTAACTGGTAATACATAATACATAGGTACTAATAATAAACTAATAACAAAATAACTAATATTACTAGTACGTACTTGTTCATAGCTACATTCCTACCTACCAAACGAAGGTGTTTGAAAAATAAACACAAACTTTTATCCAGCCACAACGGCATGTCACGTAAGATTTAAAAATAGTTAATAATAACAACAAAAAAGTAACGCACTATCATGAACATAAACATTGAAAAATAAAAAAAGCACGAAAAAATGAGAAGGCTGACACTCAGACTCATCGATAATTTTTTTAATGTTTGCAGTATAATTTGATACAGCCATTCGAATACAATTATCCAAATGTTCATCTGTAAGTCGATTGCGATATTTGTTCTTAATAAACTTCATATTGGAAAAAGAAGATTCATACAAATAGGTTGAACTGAATAATGCTTTCACTTTCAAGGCAACACGGCATAGAATTGAATATTTGTCTTTACTTACAATAGGCCAGATACATTTGGTACTTGAGACTAACGATTTTAAGGCTAAATCATTTTGAAACTCAATTACTTCCATTTCTGTTGCAGCGATGTCTTCGGCAAAGTTCTGCATAACACAAGTTACAAACTGTTGGATATTAATTTCCATAAAGGGTGAAACAACAAACTGCGCTACTAAGGCCATTTCGTTTAAATCCTTAAAACGATTTTTGAAGTTATTCTTCAGGGTAGAAACTATTTCTACATGATATTTGCTGTCATAGGGTTTTAATGGATTTTGAGATATTTTTTCTGAAAGAATAGGAAAATGCTTGGCATCGCTGTTAATTAGGTTTTTTTCCCAAAACTCCAGCTTTTTGATAAATGCTTTTATGTCAGAAATCATTTCCGCTAGTTCTTTGTCTCTCCCCTGAAGCTGCAAATTAAGTTCGTTTAATTTCTCTGTAATGTCCACGAGAAAACCAAAATCTTTAAGCCAGATTGAATTTTCTAGTTCCGGAGTCGGTTCATCGCGTTGTTTGAAAAATTGAACTATGCCAGATAGGACATCATTAAAACGTTTCAGCACCCATCCTCTACTTAACCATCGGACTTCAGAGTGAAGGAGTAGGTCCCCGTATTGACAGTCAACTTCATCGGCCAAGGTTTTGAATAATCTTCTTCGTAACGTTTGAGCTCTAATCTTGTTCACAATTTTTACCACCAGTTTCATAACGTTGTTTAGTTTCAGGAAATTTCCACATAATGCTTGCTGATGGAAAATGCAGTGGTAACAGAGAAATTGCGGAAAAGTTTCATCTTTACGACATAACGCCACCAAACTCTTATCACAACCCACCATAGCTGGAGCGCCATCGGTTTTCAAGCCTACCATTTTCGATATTGGAATTTTCTCGGAAGAAATATTTTTTGAATGATAAAACAACTCCTGTCCAGTAGTGTGTCCTTTCAGTGGAATAAACTTCAAAATATCTTCTTTAATCGAAAAATCACTAAAAACCATCCTGACGAACTCGGCCATCTGGGCAGTGTCAACGACATCTGTTGATTCATCCCGTTGAAGTGAAAAATAAACACAGTTATCTAAGTCAGTTCTTAACTGTAAAAAAATATCATTGCTCATTACTTCTACACGTCTCATCACTGTATTAGCAGAAAGTTGCATAGATTTTATAGCTGAAACTATCTCGTCTTTATTTCTAAAGTTGGCAAATAACGAATCAGCAGCTTCTAAAAACGCCTGTTTTATCATTTCCCCGTCTTCATAAGGTTTCTTTTTTGTGCAATTATCTGGGACACACGGTACGATGCTTCAGTTGCAGCCTTATTTTTGTCGACTGTTCTTAAAAATATTGATTGTTGTACAATTAACTGTTTTTTTAACTGTTTCAGTTTCTCCTTTCTGGCGGCAGAATGTAGTGGGAATGGTTTTTCAAAATTAGAATGTACAGTTTTATGATGTCTCTCAATATTTCCTGTTTTAGCAACGGAGACCGAAGTATTACATAACAAACACACATTTTTATCTTTAACTTGTGTAAAAAAGTATTGTTCTTCCCATTCCGAATGAAAGTGGTATGTCTTTACCTTCTTACAACTGCTTGCCATAATATTATTTTTTGTTGTTCTCTACTAACCCAACCGCTAGAAGTTGGTTACGCGTTCAGTTTTAAACTAAGCGCAATGTCGCCGCGGCGCGCCGTGCGTATTTATCCCGTTCAAAGCAATCCTGATCGTTCTCGAACACTAACGCGCTGGTCCGGCTGGTCGGTTCTAGCCGATTCTAGCTTGATGTCGTCAGCGGCAGATCGCTCACCGCAACTTTGCCGCTGTTTATGTTTAATATTATGACAATTAGATTTTTTGTGGAATTTTCGGAAGCTTCTCTGATTTTTGCAGTTTGTATTTTTTAAATTAAAATCGTTGTGTACCAGAATTGCCTCCGCGAGCTACCGGTAGCTCGCGATCGACAGGTTGGCGACTACTGCGATAGATAGTGATGGAAAATTAAATGATAGCTTCTTGATTGTGATTTTTTATTGGTTACACTTTACACTTTTAATTTATTCATCGATCTTGATTATATTTCGGAATCACTTCCTCATAGATGTTAAACAACATTCAACAATATGTCCCAAATCTGTGTATGTATTCTTCTGTGAAACATTTTAATCAATATCTTGTTTTGGGTTCAAATTTTATCAGTATAATGGTGATTGGTGGCACATTCCACATGCCACAAAATAAAAAAAGTAACGTACAAATAAAAGTAGCTTGAAAAACAGTTATTTAATGTTTCTCCTAGGTCCTAAAGTGTTCATTAATATGTTTTTTCTTCCAGTGTTATTTGTTTTATCTCGACCCACATATAATTAAAACGACGAAAAGCGGTCACATGCGCGATGCCATTATTGCCTCACAATATCAGAATCGGTCTAGCCCAAACATGTTTAAGCTTTTGAATATAGTAAAAAAATAATTACCTAAATTTTAACTTATCTTAGTTATTTTGAAAAATATATTTTTTTGTATTGTAAAGTCGAATTTCCATATAGTCAAACAATATTAAAAAATCTTAACAATATTGATAAGATATGTAAACAATTTTAGACCATTCTTGTAATATCCTTTGAAAAGGGATGTAAACAACTTTGATAAGAGTTATAAACAAAGTTAGTAAGATATGTAACTAATTTTAGACCATTTTAAATTCAGGTACGCAAAAAGTTCAATTACGTTTAACTTTTTGCGGATTTTACCAACAGCCACTAGATTTGTTATCATTTCAAAATTTGTCTTAAAATTGTAAATTTTACCCCAATAAAATGTGAGTGTTCAAATATAACTGTAATGTTTAGAGATTTAAGTTCTGATCAATCATATTTATATGACATTTGTAATGCAATATCAAGTGGAAATTTCTCATTAAATTTAGCACACTAGCACTCTGATTTAAACGAGAGTAATCCAAAAATGGGAGTATTGAAGGGATGATAGCAAGGGTGAAAGGGTAACCTTTTCAGCAATTCTAAATATGGCAAAATATATCTCCTTTCGAATATTAATTGACATTTTTTTTTCATTAGTCCTTCAAAAATTAGAAGGGCTATTTTTCTTCAGAAATTTTTCCAAATCATGCCAAACAGTTTAGCTTAAAAATTCTCACAAATGAACAGCTTCTGCTAAATACGTTCACATGGTAATAGTTAGGTTTCATACAGGATGGCACTTTAAAATTGTTTAAGGAAATGTGATATTGTAATCTTTTAAAGCGGGATCAAAGTCTATATACCGAAAATTCGAAAAATGAAAAGGTGCTGCTATACAGGGTGGCCACTTTTTTAATGGGATTGTATTAGTAATTCCCAAACCATAGTAGTTAGAAAGTCGGTTAAATGGAGAAAAAGTTACGTATCTCAAAGCCTACTCTAGCGGTGAAAATTAATCGAAAATAGCAGGCCCAGTTCTTGAGATATTTCGATAAAAAGAAATTCGATCTTTTCGGTTTTTTGGTTATCGTTCATTTATTTTCAGAACTATTAAAAAATCTTCCCAAGGTTTTTTATTTGATAGTAAATTTTCTTTGATTTGACGTTTTGATATTTTGCATCAAACGATTCGTATTCTCCGGACCACCCTCAACTTA